GAGAAGATTTATGCAAAAGTTGCTGAAGATATGGCTGACGTTTGAAAAATTTGAAAGGATTTACTTGTTTTTCAATATAAATGAAATTGCTAGTGTTAGAATATATAGTCGTAATATGAAGAGCAGTTTGATTTACACTCTGCTCATCACATTGTAACTCTTGCTTAAGCGACGCTCGCATAATTCTTAAATTAATGTGTGCAGGGCAGGGACTGCCCCAGGGAAACATTTGGGGATTACATTTGAAAAATTCCGACTCTGACGTCTACTATGTTAATTCGTTTTCAGTTAATTTTCAAAACTAATACATTGCAGTACTTTATGTATTTTTTATTTTTGGCTTCGTTTACGTTCTGTGTTGCGTTCATATTGGCGCTCTTGGGTTTCTATGCTGGCGTCCTTTTCTCGTATTATTCCCTTATTTTCACCTTAAGTCTATGACTGTTTCCAACATTGATTTGCATAATTTTCAAGCTCATTTTGAAATCTCATCAAGAAATATATAAACATAGGCCCTGTACCATATACTTAGACTACTACCGAGTCACGAAAATTTAAAATTTCATGTGTTGGTTGTACAATGTAGAATTAAAAACGTATTCATATGAATCGATTTTTTATATTTATAAGCTACTCGTTAAAAATACTAATTTTTAGAAAGAAAAGTTTGGCTGCTAAGATTTTACAAGAGAAGTTTCTATTGATTTTGCACTCGTATAAGGAGTTTGTGTTTCAAAATCGGTTGACACGTTAATTTTAAATTATCCGTACGTCTTTGCCCTAATAGATATTTCTATACAAAATCTTAAAAAACTTCGTATAGTCGCTGAAAGAATTTGTTAGTGTTGAGTACTTTGAATTCCTCCGTCATCTATTGCCTAATCATAGCGATAATCCTAAAAAAGAAAGTCAAAGTCCAAGCTGCTAGATGAACTTTATACTACATAAGAAATAACGGAACCGAAAAATATAACGTAAAGAAACGTGTATAATTCGATGTTATGCCGTAAAAGAGCAAAAAAATCTCGTTTGTTGCAATTAGTTAAAGTTAATTCTTGATTAACATGGGTCATTTTGAGAGTCCCATCCCTCCTTTCGTCTGTCCGTAAATTATCCAAGTTGTCTCTTTATCTATTCTTTCTGTTCATTAGTATGTATAGTTATAATTATAATAACTTTTTTAAATCAAAGTAATAAATTTTAAGATTAAAGTAAAACGAGTGCTAGCAAACAATTTATTTTTTTGAAAAAGATGTACTGGATAGTTGTGTAATCAATCAGATTCCTTTAACAATGTATCAAGTATTTTATTTATGCTATCTTCTCCAGATACTTTCAAGATATGGGTGGTTTTTGATAATCCGATTGCGAATCTTCGAGTTTTGGAAAATTATTAAAAGATTTTGTCTACCAATGGAAAGCAAGACGTCGCAGTAAATCCGGTTGGTGCACCACTGTAATACTATGACAAAATATTTCCATTTTGATTTTCTCATTAATGGTTGCACGTAGCGGTGGAACGAGATTTAGCAAATAACGAAAACTTGTTTAAGGTAGACCTAAAAAGTAAGTAAGCAATAACTTTATCAATGACTTAAGAAAGTTTGCAGAAGTTAATATTTTGTAAAAGTTTTTCCCGAGGATGACATCGCTTTTGACTGTAACGAAGTCTTTGAAGATAAAGTTGTGAAAAACTCTTATACATTGATGCAGTCATACGCAAAAAAATACGATCAAAAGAAAAACAAACATTATTTTATGTCCTTTTAGGAAAGAATATCAGATGTCACAAAGACTAGAAAATTGAAAGCATTTAAGTGAAAGAATATGCTTTGCTTAGGCGGCTGAATAAAGCTTAGAGCAAGTTAGTAGCTCGAAAGCTGAGTAGAACTGCCTGACGAAAGAGAATATTGTACAGCATTGTCCAACATACATATGCACAGTACATTCTGCCTGTTCCCCATATAAGCACCCATGGAATTAATATAGTATTTGAAATAACGAATGCATTCGACTATCAATACGTCGAACCACCCCGATCGCCAAAGAGAATAAGACGGAAAACATACGCGCATTATTCTACGCGTTTGTACTAATAAAATCTAAATTGTATGTTACAATTTAACTCTGGTGGTACCAAGTGCGAATGCAGCTGAAATAAACTGCATGCACTTCCTAAGGATGAGTTAAATCGAGCGTGAGTTTGAATTGGTAAAAATTCAACCACAACCATAACAGCCAAGTATCAATTACCGCAGAAATTCTTTAAATGCTTAGAAGCCATAGCAATAGTCTGCGTCAAATATTAAGTTGACAAATTATTGAAATAAAAAATAAAAAAGAAAAATACTAATAATAAAGAAGAACAAAAACTTGCGGCAAAGAACTTGACATTAAGCAGTAAATGAGTTCTAAGCGTGAACGTGTGGGTCTTCTATGTGCATACCATTACTAATGTGATGGGCAAACCTTGCCGTAGTTATAAATGAATTATAAGTTTTATAATTTTTGTAAAGGAGTCCATGTGTAGAATAGCGTGAAACTATGAAAGTGAGTCTGAATACGAGTGTGCACAGATAAGTGCCTGTGTAAATGGATTGGTATGCGTGTAAGCTGTTAATACTTTTACGTTTATAGATCCGCATTTAGTCATATATTCATTGCGCTATCATTGAAAAGTATTATCTTCAATGAACTGCTATGTGGGGTTAAGAGCAGCGTTGAGATGTTTGCCTAGATTTGCTTATTTATGTATGTTTTGTGTATGTAAGTAATTAAAAATTTCCTTTGGAAGTGTCGTTAACACCTCATATTGGTGTTTGCTTTTTTTGTAACTTACATTTATTTCTTTTGCACAAGATATAAACTTCTATTTAAAGCTTAATAATATTCAAAAAGAGCCTCACAGATTAAGTGCGTTGGTGTGGGTGAAGCTGGCAAATTCTCATAAATATTAAAATTCATTAAGTGAAAAGTATTATATTTACGTGTATGGAAGCGTATATGCATGCGTGGTATTGTGTGTGAGTGAAATTGTTAGCATCTGTTCGCACAGCATATCTGTATACATTTAAAATGCATTTCATTAAGTATACAATTGGACAGACAAGCAGTCTACTTTTCCTTTTTGACGTTCCTTACTTTCATCATCTGCTGTAAAGCTTTATTAATATAATGCATATTCCTAGTGCGGTTGTTGATGCCTGTGCTATTAGTGTCCAGTACATTTAAAGCGTGTCAAGAAAATACCGGATACTATTAAGTAATCAAAAATTTTTTTTTATAATTATTAAAGTTCCTACGATTTTTTCCAAAATAGGCTGCTTTTAGAGCCAAATATTTAAACCAAAAGCTGGATGTACTGTGGAAACTTATCCTATAAGTACTCTTAGAAGCAGTTTTTAATTTCCTTTTCGGATTTGATTCTATTTTCAATCAATCAACCTAATTTTTTATGTCCTTCTGTGGTAGCAATGTCGGTTTCAATTCCACATTTAAAATATTGGCTTGAAGTTAGGCAAGTTCACGGTTCATGCTTTTTACTCGAAACTACAACAGATAAAGTCTTAAAAATTTCAAGTAAGTTTTATGAATGATTCTGTAAAACCTGTACGGAAGTGGAAAAACTATGCCGCATGCCCCCAAATATTGGAAGGTTCTATAATTTTACTGTGCCGTTCATTTCAAATAAAGGTAGTGACTTGAAAAAATATAATTTGCTAATATACTTCATATTAAAGGATGTTAAGGAGAGAAATTGGGAAAAAACCGATAATGCGTACTATGTGCAACTAAGAATGTCGATTACCTCAGTCAGTATTGGGCAGTTCAAATCTCAAATGCCGTAGGGTTGACTTTGACCGTAGATCCGCATTCGATTGGGCGCGTATCTATGCCGGCACAACATGGTCCAAATTTTTTCAACGTGATATCTCCTGTTTTGAAGACAATGTTCTTCACTAGGTTTCTAGCATCCTTCAGTAATCCTGTCCACGAAATTTGAACGGGAATATAGCATTAAAAGATGTTTTTTGATGTACTACGGTCTACACTCTTCCACCGTTCAACACCTCTTAAAGGGTTTTTCATAGACAAACCCTGGAACTTTTTTGAGAAAATCTATATTTCATCACTTGTTTATGGATACACCATCATAAGTTTTAACATATATAAAATAGTATTTGTATCTGCACAACTTCTCCTTTGACTCTCTGTGTTACTGCTTCTCCCTACGAATACGCGACATAAGTTTCATATAAGTGCGGGTTATATAAATGTATAAATGTCTACTGTAATAACAGTATCTGGTAGGTTGCTGCACAAGCTGTTGCTGGTTCTGCTGTCATTAGTTCAACTAGAACTACTACTACCACCATTACGCATTCACGAATGTTTGTTTGTTTGCAATTAAGAAAATTAAATTGAAATTGCTTGACATTATATAATTCAAACTGTATATGGTTGTTCTATGTGCACTAATTGAAGTTTATTATAAATTGAAAACTTTCTATGGATGCATAAGTACGTGTACGAAGTACATACTCATACACTATATATGTATATATATGCATTTATGTATAGAAGAACCCAAGTTAAATTTTTAATTTGTAAAATTATGCTGCCGAAGGCTACTGCATATCCTTAGGAACTCACCGAAAATATATTTTGTAAACGAGTTATTTATGGCTTAATAATAAAAACTGTGATTTATCAAATCTGCTTTGATTACTTGGAAATAAGTTTTACTTTTCCTTGCAAACTATATTGAAATTATTTCAAGAATTATGTATTATTATTATCTGATCGCAAAAAAACTCTACACAACTAATATTCACTGAGCTGTCAAAGTTGCACAGCTTTAAACAACATAAAGTGAACAATTTTTCTGGATTTAAGAGGAAAAATAATGGAATGGTTCGAGGAGGATAGGTAAATAGGAATAGGAGGATAGGTAAAAAAATTTAATTTCCAATAAACACGAAATTATAACACTTTCTTACCTCGATTGCTGGTAACTTGTAATCGTTTAGTTGGTTTAAAATATTAGCCGAGCAAATTAATCACAATTTATCATGTGTGAAAGGAAAAAACGGCGACTTAATTGTTCACTTTCGGTATTTCACATATATGGCATTTTTTTGCACAGTCAAGGTCTTTGCATGGTAATATTTTGCGTATTTAATATGCCAAAATATGTCTGAAATAAAAAGGGTTTCCGAACCGCATTAATTTTTTATTTTTAGTTAAAATAAACTTACGCAAAAGAACATGTAAACAGTTGGTCGGGGCTTTTCAAGAGTGGTGATTTAAATGTTACAGGCAAGGAACACGAAAAATCTCCAAAAACCTCCAAAGAATTGCAAGCATTGTTGGACGAAGACGATATACAAACGCCAAAACAACTCGTAGACTAGTTGCGTCTTACAAAAAGCTGTTTCCAGTCACTTACCGGAGACGAGAAAGATGGAAAAAGTTGGCAGATAGGTATCATCTGAAAGGTGGGACTAAATAGGTGTAGTCCATTTGGCGCTGTTACAGTCTGGCGAAACAGTTAATACCAACAACACAAAGTCATTTCGTTCATGGCAATATCTCGCATACAATAAAACTATGAAAAGTGCTAGTCCACGCGGCTTACTTGCCAGACTTGGCGCTTTCCATCTACCATTTATTTACATCGATATGTCATGCACTTGTTGCACTTTCACTTTGAATCTTATGAGGATCTAAAAATATGGATCGATGGACGGTTCTGCACAAACGGAAAAGCTTTTTGATGACGTGCTGTCCACAAATAGCTCAATAGATGAGAAAAACATGTAACTATCGATAACAATTATAGAATCGCATTGAATTGTTTAATTTTGAGTCGTGTAAGGTATGGTTGTCTTTATTAGCGTGCGCTTGCTATATCGCTAATATTGAGAAAAAATCATTTTTGCGAACAGCAGCGAAAGAGAAAGTAATTTTTACGACTGAACACAGGAAGAAGTGTTAAATTCGTCTCCGCTTATCGTAGCAAAATGAAAATGATGAAATTTTCGTCAATTTGTCTATGAAGGACACTATGTTTCACAGATAAGGGAAATTTTTATTTTTAAAATACGCGCATTCCAAATATCAATGTAACCAGATTTGGTATTATGCTCATTAACTTCTGACTGAATGTTCACGGTGTTGAACCAGTTATTAACGGTTTGCAAGTGGCGCAAAGACCCTAGAATTGGAGCTGCCAAGTACGTTGATTTAGCTCATTGCAACTATTCAGATTCAAAAGAATACATACAAAGCATGTAATGCTTACAAACTTGTTAATAGCTTTTATTAATATGAACCGACGTTTAAATACCAATAAGCAGTTCTTCTGTGTCTCCTGTAATTTTCGAAATGCTGAAGGCCTATACCCATTTCTACTAAAGGCAACCAAGTTGACCCATTTCTTTTGTGTATCGCGAAAATAAAATAAGGACGTGCAACAAAGCGTCAAGAAAAACGTGACTCACGTTGATAGCACTAGTTGTACACAAAAAGTCCGCAGTTCTTTTGTTAAAGATGATAGAGAAATAGGTAAAAAGCAGCCACATACGATGACCGCTGATGGATATATTGATAAGATTATTCTTGTACTCGGCTACCATTACAGTTGTCTCGTGCTAAGTACAAAAAACCGAACACTCCGAAGGAAATTTCCAAAAATTAGAAAAGATATTGTTGTTTCTGCACTAACACCACGAATAAATTTCAGTTTTTAGTGAAAATTGTACTAACACAAGGAGAGAACTTACATTGACATTAGAAACTTGACTGTATTTATATCCCATATATAAAAAACTAAAAAGTTTCATGTGATATGTGGGCCTCCCAATCAACCACAAATACGTAGAGACATATTACCTAAAACTAATCTAATCGAGGCACATACTAGTTTGAAAATAAACTTCTTTCAATAGTTTCATCCAAAGGTTAAAAACTTCACCAAAATAAAGCCCTGTATGACGTCTGGTTTGGTTCTGGCACGTGACATGTTTTAAATTAACAATTTTCTTCGACAGCGTTCCAGTTTTTTCTCACTTTTGCCGGTGATTTATGACCTGGCACTATGATGTGTAAAATATATGAATATTTCATCTATTTCTTCAATTTTTCGTCTTTGCGAGTCCCTGATAAGATATAAGCAGCCGTTTACAGGTAATTAGATTCTTCTTAATCATGAATAATTTATTTAATTTCCTGGTGTTGCCAATAGAATGTTAGACTTAACTAGTTCTAAGCGCACGGTGCTTAATACAAACTTGGATTTGACCTGTAGAATTTTATAAATTTTTTCTTGTAATGAAAAGATATCAACTGCAACATGCATTAACGCATGTTTAATGAATAACAATGAAACTGTTATAGTAGGTATCAAGAGTAATAACATCATTATCAACGCCATATTCCTCCTAACCAACTAGCCATACAGGTTATGCCAAATCGCTGTAGTTGAACGTGTTGACCCATACGACCGTTGTTCGCACTATGGAAACGACTGGGATATAAAGGTAAAAGTGTTAATGTGCATGTGTAAAGAGTTTGACGTTGCTTTTCTCGTAATGATTGTTGTTATTGTTGTTTGGTTTTGTTAACAATTATCACATTTTCTTGCGTACAAAGAGTGGTAATCATTGTAAATTTCACCAATAAACAAATACAATTATGCACCAACAACAGCAACACAAGAGCTAAACCAACAAAGGCAGCAATACCTACACACTACCATTTACATATGTACCCACGACTGCTACTTTTTTTCATTTAATACAAGAGAAAACAACATTCGTCTTATTTCCACTGGGAGCTCAATAGACAGTTGTTCATACGTTTTAACAGCAACAACGACAACAAAATGAGTATACAACAATGACGCAACGCACCAGAACAACTGTAATTAAAATGTGTTAAGGGATTTACATATAAAATATGCCCACATGGGTGTGGGCTATATGTGCGCTCTTTTATATCTGACAGATTGGGTTGCAAGCGCTGTTTACGCCTAGAGTATGCGCCATCTTTTTTACTTAATTTAAACGTGGACGCAGCAATTTCGTATGGTTGAGCATGATCGCGTTCACCTAGAGCATGTATATGCCACTTCATCTCATGTAGCCAGATAAACCAATGACTTTTTTCAATGTATACTTATATTATCGTTTGCATGTAGTGATTTTTTTTTAAACTATGGTTAATTTAAGGAAAGCCTTCTTCGATTATAAATTAAATTGTCTTTCGGTTATGTATTCGCGAGCGTGCGTGCGTTTGCGATCGTATATATCGATAGGTGTTCGCTCTTCTCTGTTGTGGTTTGTTTGTTTTCTCTTAATTGCACAGAGAATAAATTTGTACGTCGGCGATAACAATAAGAATATGCATAATTAATTCCAGGGCTTTGCAATTTGCATACGCAATTGCCTATTGTCCTGCTCTGTGTTTGGCTTCAGAGCAGAAACCCTTTTGGCACGCAGCTTATACATTTCTTTTATTTCTTCCCATGTTTCTCATTACTTTGCTTTGTAATTGCATTCTCGAAAGTTTTCTCTGTTCACTACGATACCATGGGACATTAGAAGTCTCACTCATTTTCACTTTACAAATACATAGCGGTTAGGGAAGATCCTTTTAAATATGCAAGATGTTCCCTCGCACAGAATCTCTCATTTCTTTATTGGGACAGTAAAAAAATGTTGAGGTCAACCAATCAGGTATCGTCGTACCTCCAAGTTGAACTCTAGAATTTCCTTTCAATTCTCTAATAAAATTGTTTTCAAAATTCTTAAATCTCTATATTATCTTTTTTGTTTTTATTTTTTGGACTGTACTAAGTATCTGGGGTAGTTCGAAAAGTATGTTCAACTAAGCTTGCACCACCGCATCGTGTCTGCAGGCGCCGCGTAATACGTATCAAAACAATTCCTTCGCATCTGGCAATATTAATATTGCTGCTGGTATTTGTATACGTTGCTCTTATTCAATTTAATTATCGCTTCAAAATCGTCAACGTTATTCTGTTTTTTTATGGAGACAATTAAAGTCGTCTGCAAACGAAGTTATCTTTTTTGTATATTAAATTTGATATTTCGGAGCAATAAGCGCAATGAAATCTTCCAATATAAATTTTGGTATATTTACAAGGGCAAAGACGACGTAAAGATGCCGATTGATGAATCGATATGATTTTTAGGCAGCACCAACCTTCAATCGAAATGCGTTTTAAAACTTCATGACATTGCGTCCCTTATCTTACAAGTTACAATTGTTTTGGCGAAGCCTCATTTGAATACCGTTTGTTGATAAAGCAATGCTTTTTAATGGGAAAAACACCGTTCAAGCAAAGAAATGTCTTCATAATTGTCATTTGGACTCTGCTCGATCGAGACAAATTATACAGGAATGAAGAAGGTTTGCTGATTTTAAATGTCGTCATGCGAACACCAATGATGCGGAATGCTCCGGTCACCAAAATTCTCTATTTGTTTTCGAATTTGTCGAAGATCGAGAAGTGATGTTGCGCAAAATAGCTGATATCTTTACAATGTCAGAAAGTAGTGCATTTACTATTTTCCATGAGCATTCGTTCATAAGAAAGGTCTGACCAAAATGGGTACCGGGTTTACTTTTTATTAAAAACAACAAGTTCATGATTTAGAGTGGTGTTTGGAGCTGTTTAGGTAAGATAATAAAGGGCGAATATAGAGTCATCCAGAACGAAATTGGCGGCCAGCCAACCGCACAGCAGTCTGCAAAACCAGCTAAAACTACCAAAACAGAGCTACAAGTCGAGTAGAAAGGTTATGACGGTTATGATAAAGGATCAGCATTGAATATTACATAGCATTATTAGTGCGTCTGAATGACGAAATTGCAAAAAAACGGTATTAAATGATGGAGAAAAAAGATGCTTTTTCACCAGAACAACGCGTCTTGTCGCAATGCGACCATAACGGAGGCAAAAGTGCACGAATTGAGCTTCGAATTGCTACCACACCCACTCTATTCCCCCCTTGTAGGTCCCAGCAACTATTATCATTTCGCGAATTGCGAGTAATACTCTTGAAGAAGATTAAGTTAATGAATGGAATCGAAATTTGCTTAAAACTTATTTGTTTACTATTGATGTTACGAACTTATTAAGGGCTGTGTTAGAACAACACAGCCAAGGAA